AGGGACTGCAGCCATGAGACACCTCTATACTTGCACACTAAGATCAGTAGAGTTTTGACAGGGCAGGGTGTTGTACACACAGACCTTGTAACAGGTTACTGACTCCAGTGGTCTCCTCATCATGGGCTGATCATGTTCCACATGCGCATTTGTTGAAACAGGAATCACGCTTACATTGGACTGATTCATCATCTGCAAAACATTAGACCAAATACCTGCTCAGAAAAACATATCTTCAAAAGCTTCAGCCACAAGATATTCTTTGAGGGTCATTTTTTACCTTAAAGTTTTCTTTATGAGGATTAGCTGGACAGCTTGATGCTTTGTGACCAGGTTGATTACAGTAGTGACAAACAATGTTTGCTTTCTTGTCGGCTGATTCATCTTTCACAGGGAGCTCAAACCTAGGACTGAAGAAACACAAAATTTATGACGAGATAAATAATTTATTTTACTTAATTTCTGGGGCAGGATTAGCTCATCCGGTAGTGCGCTTGACTGTTGAGCGGAAGGTTATGGTTTTCATTCCCAGGGAACCAATACTCAGGGTCTTAAAATAACTGAGAAATGAAGGGACTGCCTTTGCCGTGCAAAAGGTTTGACCTTTACATGGCTCAGATGACCACATAAAATGGCAGTCTTGTCTCCAGTAAGAGATTTAAAATGCTTAACATTAATAACCATCTGTTAACTACTGCAGTCAACAAAATTATTATCAAGAAGACATATACATATAAAATGTAGGTTTAATTATTGAATCTGGGTGTAAGTGTTAAAGCACAGTACAAAATTACTACATGAAAAAATGGCATTTTTACTTACTTTGTTTGCATAATGTCCTTTGTCACCACACTAAAGAAGAAAGTTTAAACATAAAAATTAACTTGGGAAATGGACAACAGAATTTATGTATTAACCAGTGTATTAACAATATAATTGTATTTTGAATGTAAATGAAAGAAGACACAAAAGTGATTAGTTTAAACATAAGAAGGCTATATAGCAGACTAATTAATTAGCCATCACTTATGATTGAGATCTGTAGATGCTTCTTTAAGGATGTTTAACAGTGCAAACAAACAACACTACATTATTAGTATGGAATTTTCAAAGCAAAAATGCAGATGTCTCTCTTGACAAGTCTCCAGTGAGAGACAGCCATGAGACACCTCTATATTTGCACACTAAGATCAGTAGGGTTGCGACGGGACAGGGTGTTGTACGCACAGACCTTGTAACAGGTTACTGACTCCAGTGGTCTCCTCATCATGGGCTGATCATGTTCCACATGTGCATTTGTTGAGACAGGAATCACACTTACATTGGACTGATTCATCATCTGCAAAACATTAGACCAAATACCTACTCAACTTTATTGTAATCGATTTTACGACCCACAAAAATTATGTTAATTTTAACCTAGACACCAGGATAAAACACCATGTCACCTAAACCTGCTGTGCACAGTACTGCATCTTTGAGAAAAAAACAAATCTTCAAAAGCTTCAGCCACAAGATATCCTTTAAGGGTCATTTTTTACCTTAAAGTTTTCTTTATGAGGATTAGCTGGACAGCTTGATGCTTTGTGACCAGGCTGATTACAGTAGTGACAAACAATGTTTGCTTTCTTGTCGGCTGATTCATCTTTCACAGGGAGCTCAAACCTAGGACTGAAGAAACAGAAAATTTATGATGGGAGATTCATTTTATCTATTTTCTGGGGCAGGATTGGCTCCTCCGGTAGTGTGCTTGACTGTTGAGTGGAAGGTTATGGTTTTGATTCCAGGGGAACCAATACTCAGGGTCTTAAAATAACTGAGAAATGAAGGGACTGCCTTTGCCGTGCAAAAGGTTTGACCTTTACATGGCTCAGATGACCACATAAAATGGCAGTCTTGTCTCCAGTAAGAGATTTAAAAATAGTGTTCTCAATATTATTAGCACTTTCATACTTTCAAATAAACCGCTTTTTTAATTTAATTTAGCACTGCCAGACTTAACAGACACACAACAAGAGCTAGCACATATTAGAATTATCATTATTATTTTTGAAAGTTACATAAAAGAGGAATAAGAAGAACACATGGAACACAACAATGATGTCAAAATGACTTTTTGTCTTTTTGGCCCCTGGAGGGCATGTTTACAGCTGTACATTGTAAATGCCAAAGAATGGTGGGAAACATTTGAATTGAGGGATGGGCCAACATAATGTGTCATGTAAAAAGCCACAGTCTATGAGTAAAAAGTCACATGCACTTCATATCATATCATACATCTGTGCTTGGGAAAAGGAAATTAATATTGTTGGGGACAAGAGGTGCCCACAATCCTAAACTCCAAGTTCTGTTACACATACACGTCACATACATGTATGTAGCCAGCTTTATTTGGACTTCCACTAAAAATGAAAGGAATGCACAGAAAACAATCTGATCATGAGTATTTGGACCTTCTTTCTATCTTGTAATCTGATGCAAAGCACAAAGTTGCTGCCCGCACTCCATAAGCTTTTGTTATTACTAGCCACAAAAATAAATATGACAACATAAAAACATAAAAAGCTGGTGTTATATACTCACTGCATGTGTTTACATTTGGGTCCTTCTGGACAAAACCCACATAAATAGTTAAGACAAATCACACGTCTGACGTGGCGGTGCCGACAACTTGGACCTGAATAAAGGAGTTTAAATTATGTATGTTTTATTTATTGTCCCAGTACTTGGTATTATGTAAATAAGAAAGTAGGTTTTGTTATTACCAACTTAAGATAATGAACTTAATATTATTCAACATGGCATGTGCAGGATAGTGCTCGTCCATTTTTTTGTCTTAATGGTCACCACATTTATTGACAATGATGTTTCAACTATCTACATGTACATGCATGTACTACTGGTCTAGATATTTTTAAAGTCTCAGTTTCATGACCTTTATCTTTACATAAGTTTATCAACAACATTACCAGTTACATCTTTAACTTCCAGTGGCAGCACTCAAAGTCATGTTGAAACTCCTAGTAAGTTTCTAAAATTATAGAAAAATATTCTTCAACACCAAACATTTTTTCTTGAAAGTTACGCAGAGCTTTCGGAACCCATCCAGATCCCTTCATCAGTGTCGTTTGCTGTTATTAACAGCCTCGTAACTTTTGTTGGTGTTCAAGAACATTTCTCTTTATTATACAGCTACAATAGTATGCCTGCTCTGATTGGTTGCTAAGAAGGCAATGCTGTCTTGTAATGACCAGACATTACTAGCAAGATGTCCAAGGCACATACAGTCTGTGTTTAACGTGATAGTGGACATCTGTGTTATGGTCAATTGACAGCTGTAGACCTTCCCGTTGTTGTTGCTTAAGCTCCCTAATGTCTAAATAGCTTGTTCTATCAACCCACCATGTTTGCAGAATCCTCTGTCGTACCAAGGACAGTCTTTTATTTTAGATTCTGGATCAATATGGAGATATTGGCATTCCTTGTTGCTGCATTCTCCTGAAAATAAGAAAGCAAAAGAAAAGTTGTTACAAATTAATAAACTCTTCCACAGAATGATTCAAAATAATAACTGGAAAGGCCAACAAAAAGTGATAAAAAGAAGATTATAAGGAATTTCCACATCTTATTCACACAAACAAAAAGAGACCTCTAGTTTAAACAAAAGCGCAACTGCTCAAAGAAAATGTAATTTTGTTTCTCACCAACATAAAGAAAATGTGGGTACAAGTTAAATAAAGGTGCCACCTATGTGGCTAAGATTTCTCTTCCGTGGCCACTCAAAACAAACTAAAAAGAACTTTTCAAGATCCCCAAAATGAAAGGAGGGTAGCTCCTCCCCCCCCCCCNAAGTAACACTCAGGCATCTTTGTCATGTCATACTCATGAAGGAATTCACACTGGTCACCTTTCTTACATAATCCTCTCAGCCAGTGCTTACATACAACTGTCTTTTCACCCTTGGTGTGTCTAAATGGGCACAGTGCACCACGGTGACACACATTCCTCATAAAAAATTCACATACAGCTGCACCAGATTCTATGGAACAGAACATCAATAGGAAAAAACAAAACACAAGGCAAAAAAACCTGTCATTTAAATCAATGCACAACTTTTTAAAAGTATGTATATGAATACACCTACAAGTTTTGGCTAGATTGCAGAATACCTGGTCACTAAATATCTAACTTAAAAGACTGCTCTCGCAGTCATCCAATTTGTAAATAAATTTTTACATCAACTGCAGCACTGTGGGACTGAGAGAGCACTAGAAGACCTCGTTCTATAAGCACACTAGTTACTTGACATGGACTGCTAGAGTGTGGGACTGCAGGAGTACTTGTTTTGCTCGCTAAGATTTAGGCATTTTCGCATAAAAAAACACAACTGTGGGACTGTGGGAGCAGTTTTGCAAGTGCGACATTTTGTGGGTTGGGTATTCTGCAATTGCTCCTAAGTTTTGTACAGTGCTAGGTATTAAAAAGACTGGGCCTATAGCTAGCTAGCAATATAACAAGGGAGAAACTAAATGGTAAGCAAATACTCCTACAGTCCCGTTGTCTTGTAGACAATACAATCATCTTTAGGTGGTGGAATAATTGCTGCCGCTGTCTTTAGTGTACAGAACTCTAAAACAGATAACACATGAGATGAGAATGGTACTGTCCATTCCTTGGAATGGAAGAGGTTGCACTCCAACTTGATTATAAAGCTGAAGCTCTATCTCGAACTTTAAATCCGCCACGCTGGCCACGATTTCCTCCATGTTGATACAAAGTAGCAGAGCTAAGCTTAATTCTTTCTGGTAATCACCTCATCTAATATTATTTCCCTTAATTCACTGTTAATTTTCACCCAAGTTCTAATCAAAATTTCCACATGGCGTTCTGTCAAACATGGCGTGCTAGACGTGGAGGCTAGGCTGCTAAGTTTTAGGTAGGTATGTCATATATGCCTATCTCATGTATGCCCACCAATGTCCAGGGTATCGCGGGCTCGCTACTTTTTTGCCATTGAGGGAGCGAGGAGCGAGAAAAATTTATCTACCCATAGTATACCAATTTGTATACCTGTTTTCTTTGTAGAAAATGTCTAAACGAGGAGGTAGGTCTATAAATATCTTCTCTTTTTGTCTTATTAATTTGCTTGCTAAATGGCATATCTGTGGTTGTATACACAGGACGAGGAAAAGGACATCATAAAGGTCGAAGGCGCCATTTTACTGATGCTGAAGAATTAAGAATGGAAATGGAAAAGGAGAAACGACAGCAGGATTGGAGGGTAAAATGGCTTTATTTCACTTCATTTTGTATTTAAGAAAATCAGTAAAGCAATTACAATGAAATTCTAATGCCTCGTAATTGTAATAATATAATTGGAACGTCGTACCAGGCCTATTTCTAACTTCCTTAAAAAAACGTGATTTTTGAACTGTGACACGCGTGATGCAATACCCGCATAATTTCGAAAGATGTAAATAAAATCATTAACGTGTGGCATTCTTTAGTTATTGTTAGACGTACAGTACTACATCAAAAGTACAATAGCCTTATTAGAACAACACAAGGCTGTTGTTAAAACAATTAATTAGCTGTTGAGAAGCATGTTAATATACAATTTATCAGCATATCAAGGTGCTTCTCATTTCCATTGAAATTATTGCACATCTAGTGCATAGTTGATGTACTGCTATAATAAAATTAACTGCTTTGCCTTCTTCCTACTTAGATTGTGATGGTTTAACTAGTTGTCACATTTGCCTGCTGGAGTATTTAATTGTTTTTAAGCCTTAAAAACAATTTAAGAAAATTCCAGTGGGCAAATGCGACGGTTATACGCATATGTTGCAAATGAATCCAGCCTATGTTTTGACTGAATTGAGTTTTAATGTTCTTTATCCAGGAGAGAAAAGAAGGTGAAGGTTCTGGTGATGAAGATGGGGCTACTTCCAAGAAACTTGAATCTGATAGTGATGAGGATTCAGGAAGTGAGGAAGAGATGGTATGCTGCAGTCTTTTGTCTGTTTCATGCAGTGATCATCATCATCATCATCATCATCCTGGAACTCTTTATTTTTGCTGTAGGGAAAACCTAAAGGAGTCAGTGGTCTCATAGAAATAGAAAATCCAAACAGAGTAGCTCAAAAAACGAAAAAGGCAACCAATGTAGATGTCAATGATGATAAGCCACAGCTATCTCGAAGAGAAAGGTTTGTAGTCTTACTGTCAGTAGTAATATAAATTTATTACTGAATTGAAATATATGAGTTGAATCATAATGATTTTGAACTGCAGATGAAGATATGAAAGTGAGAAGAGTTTGTAATGTACACGATGGTGGAAATAATAATATATGCTGTCAGGTTGGCTTGATTAGCTCAATGGATAGAGCATTGCATCCGGGCATCACAAAGTTCAGGACTCGATTCCAGGTCAAGCCTGAATTTTTTCAGGTTCTTTTTCAACAGCTTAGTTTGTTCATTTTACTGCTAAGATCGTGTTCACTTTCATATTAACTATTACTCATGCCCAAGTGAGGGACATGTCAACTGCCTGCCATTCCTGTCTTGGGACATTTTTTTGCAGGCCCAGTTCTCGTTTCATTTCACTTAGCCTGTCTGAGTCTGCAAGCGGGCAAGGTGAAGTGAATCTTGTGTTCTGATTGGCTACCTGAAGTTTGGTTTTTTTTTCATCATGGCAAGAGATTGGTTCTTGTATTTGTCAGGGTTTCTATGGTTCACTAACAACCTTTAGTCTACAAAAAGTCCTTGAATTTTGCATCCACAAATTTGTGTGAAGCCTGTGGTTTCTGTGCATTCTACAAGAGTCAGATCAGTGAAAAAGCTGTGAAACAGGGCCAGCAGTTTTTTTTGACTGTGATGAAAAGAATCTTTTATTACATTGATACAGTGATTTAAACACTGGGGTTTATTTATTGCAACCTAGTAACTGACTGTGTCAATATCTCCTCATGTTTAAGATGATCAGAATGGAAACAGGCTTTCTTGAGCTTTTAATCATTACTGCAAGTTCTGTTTTTCCAGTATTAGGCAGGGATGTAGCTAAGAAAATGAGAATCAGGCTTTTTGGTTAGTCAAGCCAGCTGTTTTACTCATCTCCATCTCTAAAATTCCCACATGTCTTTGTTTTACTTTCAGTTTGAGCTGGTGATAAGCTCTTTTTCAGCCGGAGAAATTAGCCGGCAGCTGGCTCTTAGCAACATCCCTGATTAGGTCGCTTTCAATCACGTGGTGACCAGCTATGTAAATTTCTTGGAACAAAGAATTTTTTATACATGAGGAAATATTTTATCTTACTTTGAAAGCAGAGGTTTCTTTCTGGCATGGCTTGCAGCATTTGTGATTTCATTTACATTGCTTGTCAGGTGCATAGACACAACTGACATGCCACGCAAATAAATTTGCAAATGCTAAAAGCCATGCCAGGGAGAAACCTTTGCTTGCAGGGTAATACGATCCTCACAGAGATTTTCTGGCATACTCTGTGATGTCATGAGAAAACGATCTATTGCTAGTACAACATTTTGCTCCCTAAGTTTGTAACATAGAAAATGACATAGAAAATTGAGGTGTGATTTAAGTCCATGGAAAAAAGTAATAAACAAAAACCTTGAAAACTACTGCATACCTTTAGACCCACTAGGGGCTCTGGTGTCTTGTACTTTCCAGTTACTTCGCTTGTTTGGTTGGAGAGTTTCATCACTTTCATGACATTCATTTTCACGCTCTACAAAACCCTTTCAGGAGCACTGTTGTAAGTGTTACCTTGTAACTTCAACTACTACCTTCATAAATTGCTTTGAAATTGATTTTAGGGAGGAAATTGCCCGGCAACAAAATATAATGCGAGAGAGGAAACTTCAAGCAGAGGGTAAAACAGATCAAGCTCGGAGTGACTTAGCACGACTAGCAATCATTAGAAAACAGAGAGAAGAGGCAGCACGGAAAAGAGAAGAAGAGAAAAAAGGTACAATTTTATTGTCTCTAAATTCTGAAAGTTTACTTAAAATTCCTAGTGTTTGAAATCGGAAACTACACAATTGTTGCTTTGTTTGCCAACATACTGTTAACTATCTCGGGCATGAAACATTTTCGACCAAAAGAGGCTCATTATTCAAAATCCTCAGGTATTCAATTGTAGTTTATTTAATCAGTGTTTGTAAGGTGGGTTGCTTGAAAATAGTGGTAAATGGATATGCAAATATTGGTAGTTGTGATTATATAATATTATTTGTTTTAAGCACTTATTTTTCCTTTTTTCTCTCAGCGAAAGAAGCTGCTCAAGCTGCAAAATCTGCAAAGCGGTAATAGAGGCTACATGAAGGATGACGGACGATCAACAGCATCCTTTACAGAGAATTGACTTATAGAGGAATGAGCACTATAAGAAGCCCTATGGCCAGAGATATTCCATATGCTTGCTATATCTTGTGGGATAACTTTTTTTTCCTTTTTTCCTCTAACAGAAGAGAAATTTGAGGCCAGTTTGTACGCTTGTAAGATAATGTAACTGCGTCCTTACTGCGCTTTTCATTAACATGCTAACTCTGAAATTCAACAGCCAGCTTACAATTGCATTTTTCGCCACCATCAGTCACAATTATGATAATAAGCAACAAACCTTGAAACACAGAAAATAACTAAAAATGGATCTAAATCCACCAATCACAAACCGCCATCCATGAACTTTTGAACTCGCAGAAAGAACCGTCTGTTTTGTTAGAGGTCTGTTAAGATGATTGATGGCAGTAAAGAACAAAAACGTTAGTTGGCTTTTGAACTTAAGAGTTTGCGTGTTATTGGAAAGGGCAGTAACTGTCCTTGACCCATCCTCGACTATTTTCATTGTAACAACAATGCCAAGTTACAAGTTAAAAACCTCCAGCGGAGATGTTTGTATGGAGAAGTGTATAATAAACAATTATCATACCCTTTTCTGGGCTTCTGATCAGCAGTGTGAAGTCCTTTATCTCCAATAGTTATTGTGTTCAACGTAGAAGAACACACTCCTAATACATTTGACTCCTGATTTGAATTGAGATTGCATGGAACAATCCTCATTGGGCCACGCATTTGGCATCCCCGCAGATTTTGCAGGGGCTAATGACATCACCATCAACTTGGCAAAAGAGAGAGAGCCTGGTATCGAGATTCGGTCGAAAGTACACCGCAGGTACACCATAATCTTTGATTATTACCAGCTCAAATTGGGACCATCTCGGACGGGTTAGAGAGTTTGGGGTCTCGGGCTGGCAGAATTGCAGAGACCCGTCTGAAGTAAGGATAAATCCCTTAGAACTGTCATTGCTCGTTTAAATATTGCCTTTGCGTGGTTGTTGTTAGGAAATGTCAAAATTCTTGAATAGTGTAAATTGAACAGAAACTTCAAATATTTGTTCAATTTAGTACAAACTAAAGTTCCGGACAGGGTATCCATCATAACGAACTTGCATCTGATTTGTATTCAAGCCCATAGCTAGGATTTTTTACGGGGAGGTACGATCCAGTGAGGAGACAGACCAAACGATGCCAGAGGCATTTTGAAAAACTCGGTATTTCTCAAACTTTTAATCTTCAAAAATATAGAGTACTTCATTTTACAACTTTTTAGAATGACAATGCCGGATGTCACTATTTAAACCGTGACTCGAAAGAAAATAAGAGACTACTCGCAGTCTACACAACGGCTTTCTTTCCTTGCCTTTCAAGGCGTCCG